CCTTTTTGTGAGGTATAAAAAAGTGACTTGTTTTTCCCACATTTTTTTTTTTTTTTTTTTTTTCTCTCTCCCCCTTTGCAACACCCTGAAGCGGGATTTTTGGAGGATTTAATCCCTTTCTTTGGAAACTAATGCTTGAAGGGGGAGAAAATTGACTACTAGCTGAGTGTAGGTTTTTGCTCCATGGGGTGCTGCAGATGAATGGTGCTTTTAGTGCTGGGATCAGTGCGGAAAATATGCTGTGGGCCTGGGGCACTGCCACACGTGTTGCTTGGTTGTGTTATCCTGTTGGTTTCAGGATTGCTTGTGAAGTTACTAATGTATAATGCTGCTGCTCAAACCCAAATCTTCAGGAAAAATAGCCTGTTAGAGTAGTTCAGGCAGAACTTAGTCCATGAGAGCTGTGGATATTCACATTGCCCATTTCTAGCATCTTTCAGCCCAGTAGCTTCTAGCAAATAATGCACAGAAAGGGGTTGAACGTTGTTATCCTGCTACCTCAGATCGTGGACAGCCAGGTTGACCTCTACCTCCTGGGAGCTTTATTCACTCAAAAGGCCCGGGACAAGCATCTTGCCTAAGCTTATGCACTTTCCATCCTCAGCGTGAACTGTTTAAAGCCGATGCTTTTCTTTAGCCATAAAAACCCTCGGTTTTCTCACTGTGTTGGGTGGTGAGGTGCTACCCCAACTCTTGGGAGAATGGGAGCAGACTGATATGCATCTATACCGGTCATGCAATGGTTTATACCAGATTTTCTCACCTTGTGCTTAGTTTGGGGTCTAGTTTGCTTCTTTTCTGTCTTCTCATAAATGATGGCTGTAAAGTGGCTCAGCCAATAGCTGGATCTTGGCAGGACTTTGAAATTTGAAATTAGTATGGTCTGGCTTGGAAAGCTTCCTAACCTCTCCTTGCGGCGTGTTTTTTTTCCCCTGCTGCAGGAAGTAAAATTGTCCAGTCCTGATTACCGGGACTGTAATTCGACCGATGCCATGGAGGACTTCATGAAGAGGATCAACTGTTACAAGGCCAGCTACCAGCCGCTCGACCCTGATGACTATGACCGGTAAAAGACTTTGCTGACTTCTGAACTGGCTTGAATGCCTTTCTTCTCCCAGGAGAGGAGTAATGAAGTATGGAGCTGTATTTCACTTTGTCTTCAAATACGTGACTGTGCTAGAATAACGTATGGCCAAGCCTCATCGTGAATTCAGCTTCTTCCTTGAAAATGCTGATTTTCCCCAGCCCTGTACCGGGAGCCGGGCACTGAAACCTTTGCAGACTCTCCAGGGCTCAGATATGCTGGTTCTGCAGGTCTAAATAGAAAGGTTTTGGAAAAGCAGTTCGGTTTGAGTGTTTCCGAGATGCTTTTGTCAGTTAAAGGAAGGGACTGCTTGAACAGGCTCAGACCACAAGGTTGAGCAAGCCCTGTGGTTTCCGCCTCCTCGTGTGCCCTGGGAAGACCTTTGCTGTCCTGCATGACCATGCAGGCACCTCCCAGCCTTTCCACTGCTCACAGATATGTCCGTGTGCCCTGTGTAGATAATCCCAGTCCTGCTGAGTCCTGTCCTGGGGAGGAACGTCCTCCCTGCTAGTCTTGTCTAATCCTCTTTACTGCTGCAAGGAGGAATGGCGATTACACTGGTGTTACTTAGCTCTCCATGAATCGCCGTTACCTGTTGGCTTCCTGTTGAAAATAGCCTGCAGGAAATCCTTTTAGCTGGGTGATTATGTTGACTGAGATACCTCCCAAGGCTGTTTTTCAAGGATGGTGTTTCTTTCTGCTTTCCCCACTGGCAAGCCCCTCATCCTTGCTGTGCTTTTCCTAGGGAGCTTTCTCTCATCAAAGTCATCGATGTTGGCCGGCAGTTCCTGGTCAACAGGGTTCAGGATCACATCCAGAGCAGAATCGTTTACTACCTGATGAACATCCATGTCCAGCCCCGCACCATTTATCTCTGTCGGCATGGCGAGAGCGAGTTCAACCTCAAGGGGAAGATTGGAGGTGACTCGGGCCTCTCCAACAGGGGCAAGAAGGTGAGGGGGAAGGGAATATTCCCCTATGGCTTCTAGGAGTGATTTGGCTGTAGCAGATGCCACGCATTGAGTTAAGTGTATATTTGATGACAGCTGGGGTGCTCAGAGGAATCATCTACAGGGCTGGTTAAATTTGGGCTTGGGCATGGCCTCAGAACAAGACTTTCCAGCCGTCAGCGTTGCATGTGGGCTTGCACGTAGTTAGGGGTTAACAGAGGTTGGGCTGCAGAAATGTCTAGGACAGGAGGGTATAAGTATCTTCTTTGAGTTGGTTCAGACCTTGCACAGGCAGGGCGGGATGTAGAAGGACTGCTGCCACCCTTCAGCAGGGATAGCCAACTCTGAGGCTGCTTTCAGATTGCTCACTACTTGAGTCTTCAAATACATAGTGAAGCGCAATGCTTCAGGGAGGGTTAATAGCTATTTTGGCTTGCCAAACCATTTTGAAGTCCAAATGGAGTAATTCGAGGTGTAACTATTATCAAGGACTACAGGATACATCGATTTATCTCTATGACAAGTAAGCAGAGCTGTGGTTAAGGGTGGCCAGGGATCTTCCATAGCATTGTAGGAGAGACCAGGTTGTGGTGCTGTTTCTTGGATGCTGATGTTGTTCCTTGGTGACATTAGGTTGCTGCTTTCTCCTCTGCTTTCTCTCTGTTCTCATACCCCTCATAGCTTTTGGGCATCCATGCATGTGTGGCTGCTCTTCACCTCAGAGCAGAAGGCTAGTATGTCTGCCTGTGGAAGGCAAAAGAGGTCCTGGAGAAGGCAACATTTACTGGGAAGCAGGGAAGAAGGCCCATTGGGAAGCTGTGGATCAGGAAACAACCTCTTTTTTTATGTCCCACAGTTTGCACTGGCACTGAACAAGTTTGTCGAGGAGCAGAACCTGAAGGACCTCAAAGTCTGGACCAGCCAATTAAAGAGGACAATCCAAACAGCAGAAGCTCTCCAACTGCCCTACGAGCAGTGGAAGGCACTCAATGAAATTGATGCTGTAAGTATCTTTGATTGCAGTAGGAACAGCTGGATCATGCTGGTTGCTGCTTGGCAGGGAGGGTAATAGCACCGGCCTTTTCGCTTTTGCCTAAATCTCACCTTTTGTGGGGAGGTTTTCCTTCTGTGGGAAAGGGTGGTACTTCTGCTCCAGTACTCACAACTTGGCTTCTGATCTTAGCTCTACCTTGTGTAGATGCTTCAAGATGTTGGCTTGAATGAGCAGGTTAAAATGATTTTTACTTGGAATTGCTCTGTAGCTGACCACTCAGAGGGTTATAGACAGTCGCTTTGGAGAAGGTTTTGCATGTTGGGCGTGCTGATGCTTTTTGACTTGAGCATGTCCAGTAGCCTCATGGATGTCTTATTCTGGCAGGGTGTGTGCGAAGAAATGACGTATGAAGAAATCAGGGAGCAGCATCCAGAGGAATTTGCTTTACGTGATCAGGATAAATACTACTACCGCTATCCTTCTGGGGAGGTAGGTCTGCAAGGAGACCTTCAGAGATGTGACTTTTACTTTAAACACGGCCTTCTTGTCTTCATGCTGTCCTCTACACGGAGCAGGGGAGCAGCAAGTGCTCCAAGAAACTAGAATCAAGAAATGTCAGGGCTCATATTTACCTTTTGCATTGAGCTCTTGTGAAATCGTGGTTATGTGAAGATCTCATTAAGAAATGTATCACTTAACAAACGGTCCCACCGACTTCATAGCAAATTAGTAGGAAGGGGGCTCTGGAGGTTTCTAGTCCAACCTCCTCCATTACATCCACGCAAAGTGTTGTGCTGCCCCAATTTCTTTTTCTTTCATTTCCAAAGAAGTAATTTCTACCTCTGCTCTCAGTATCATTCCCTAAGGGTTGATCTTGATGTCTCTGTTCCTGGCAATCTGCTTTCAGGGTGTGACACAATGAGGTGGGAATTGACATCAGTTCTGGATGATACTTTAGGTTGTGAATTGGGCTTTTTATCTCCAAATTAAAAGTTACATCCATAGACGTTTTGGAAAAAATCTTTGGAGGGATCCTCATGACAGCGTGTCTAACAGGAGAATGTTTGGGGATGTCTGACGCTGACTCTGGGTGTCTGGGGTTCCTTCTGGCTGCTTGTCATGGTTCATTATGAAGTCCTTCAAAACCCTGGAGGTTTTCAGGTTGCTTCAGACTTTTCAGAACTTAGAAATCCTGTAGAAAATGAAATTTCAAGCTGATAGAGAGACACTGTGCTCAAAGCCCCTGTGCAGTTGTCGCTTACCTTAATAAACTCTCCAGGACTGTAACTGAGATGTGAATGGCTTCTTTCTCCTCTGACCAGAAGAAATAGCTATGTTCTAGAGTAGTAGCCTGAAGATGAGGATTTGTTGAACTTGGCTTGTTTTTAGCAGTAATTATGTTGGTTTAGTCAGACACATGGAATCAATAGGTGTACCAAGACTGTTTCTTGTGAGGCGCTCGTTTTCTTGATTCAGTGCCGTATCTCCCTTCCCTTCTTCTGTCTCAGTCCTACCAAGATCTGGTGCAGCGCCTAGAGCCGGTCATCATGGAGCTGGAGAGACAAGAGAACGTCCTTGTGATCTGTCACCAGGCTGTCATGCGCTGTCTCCTGGCATACTTTCTGGACAAGAGTGCGGGTGAGCTCCCTGTCCCTGGGAAGAGGATTGATCCCGCTAGAGGAGGGGTGATAGATGGAGTTCTGAGGAGATGAGAGATGTGTTCAGGTCCATGCAGGGCCTGGAGCATGCATCTCTTTGGTGTGGGATAGCCTTAGCTGTTGATGAAGATATCTAAGCCTGCTTTTGGAGAGGGGATGGATGGGATAACCCTCCTGCTTTGCTTTCTCTGCAGATGAAATGCCCTACCTGAAATGTCCCCTTCACACAGTGTTGAAGCTGACCCCGGTGGCCTATGGTAAGTGGGGCCTTTCTACTAAACATATCAAGGGGTTCACCTAGTATCTCCTCCTGAATCCAAGCTGCCTCTGGGAGAACAGCAGAGGTCTGGGGTGGAGCACTTCATAGCATCCTGTGCCTGTTGGGTTTGCTGATGGCCTCTCTGTCTCCTTGTGCTCCCTTCTGCAGGCTGTCGGGTGGAGTCCATCTCGCTGAACATCGAAGCCGTCAACACCCACAGGGAACGGCCAGAGGTAAGTGTTGCTTTTCCTCAGAGCCATCCCTGGTGTACCTCTCCTTTCCCCTATGGTCAGCTGGCAGCGAGGATGCCTGGGTTGGGCATGGGGAGATTGCTCAGCTAGATGCTCTGAGTGCTGCTGGAGGACTGGAGCATCAGATGGGTTCTTGCTCTGCAAAGACATGGCCAGTCGAGGGTTTTCCAAGGGAGGAGGACTGTTGCATGTACCTGCTTCTCACTGTGTGTGTCCAGATGAAAGCTGTCCCAGGGAAAGCTCCTCCCTGGTCTTTAAGTTTCACCTGTACAATCGTCCGCTCACCTGAGCGGGGAACAGAGCCATGGACGGAGAAGGTGACTTCTCCCAGGTCTCCCAACTGGCTGGCAGAGCCCGGGCTCAATACCTTGCCCAACATCTCCTGCGTTTGTGTTTTTGTTTTTTTTTTTTTTCCTGGCCTGCCCATGGCTCCGTGTGGCTTTTAGAGTACCGTTCTGTAGGGTGGGAGGTGACGGCGCTGGGCTGGGGATGCTGCAGTGAGGGGACCCCTCGCATGGAGGAAAACCCATGTAAGGTCAGGTCTATTTGCCCTGTGCTCCACCGGGAGCACACCAGCTCGGTGTCGGGGCTGGGCAGCCACCCAAGGGGGACCCCAGGAACCCTGGCAGTGCCCATGTCCCAGCTGCTGGGACCTTTACAACTTGTGTGTAGCAGTGATGGAGCCTGGCTGGATGTTGGACGGTCAGAGCCATCCCCTTTTGGTCCACATCTCCCTTTCTTTGCTTCCCACCCTCAGCAGGCAGCAGCATCTGAGCTGCCTCTCCCTCCCCATGGCTGTAGGTGGGGAAGCTGGTCCTTCCCCACACCATGGGGGTCATCGGTGCACTCCTCCACCACTCTCGCTGGGGATGGTAGGCGAGCCATGAGCTGCGGGTAGGATAGAGCAAGACGTGTGCGAAGTGCTTGGGTCCCTCTGCTCGGCTGCGCGGGCGCTGCCCCTCCATCCCACCTCGCTTGAGTTGGAGCTTGGCGCAGTGCCGACCCTCACTGGCTGCTCTGTCCCCACTTCCCAAATCTTCCTTATCAGCCTGGGCTGGCTCGTCTTCCCTCTTCTTGCTTTACGCCCCTCCCTGGGTTGGAGGGACCAGCTTCGAGGAGGAGACCGATGGGCGCCTCCCTCTGTCATGCAAAGTCATGGCTTTTGATTACTGCTAGATTTTTTTTTAGCAATCTATATTTACTTTTTGGTGAGCAGAGGCTCAGGTGAGGAGAAGGTCTGTCTCATTTCTGAGTGCAGGGCCTTTTTGGTTTTTTTCCCTCCCCTTCTTAGGAAATCACGCTGTGTTCTTGAACGTTTTGCATTAGGGTTTTTTTCCGGTGTCCAGAGCCTTTCAATGCATCCTTTGCACGTTGATAGCAATTGTGGGGAAAAGCAGAGGCCACTTTAAGGAGAAAAAAAACAAAAAAACAAACCACAAAAAAACCCCAACCAAAACCAAAACAACCTGCTTCTTTTTTTTTCCTTTATAACTGTCGCCTTCTTCCCTTTTTTATTTTATTTTATTTTTTTATTTACTTTTTTTTTCTTTGTCTCACTCTAATTTAGGAAGCAAAGAAGGGACCTAACCCGCTCATGAGACGTAATAGCGTTACCCCTCTAGCAAGCCCAGAGCCCACCAAAAAACCGCGCATCAACAGCTTTGAGGAGCATGTGGCTGTTTCTTCCGCCCTGCCAGGCTGTGTTCCTCAGGAAGTGCCCACGCAGCTGCCGGGACAAGTTAGTTGAACTCTTTTTTTTTTTTTTTTTTTTTGCTGTTATTCTTGTTGTTTTATTGTTTGTTGTCCTCCTCCTGTCGCTCCTGAAGCTGGGGAACAGCTTGCACTTGTCGTAACCTCTGCTGCTGTCTCTGAGATACATCTTTCTCCCACGGCTGCTGTCTCTCCCTGCCTTGGCCTTGGGTTGGTTTCGGGAGCACCCAGCGAAGGGTCGCTGTTGATCCTCTCTTGGGTTTTGAGAGCATTGTAAACCCTCCAAAACTCTAGCTGCATTAATTTAGTGCCTTCACCATCTGGCATCGTGGTGTCAAACCCCTGGGGAGCCGCATCTCTAGAGTGGGCAGGACTGAAGGGCTCGTGCCTTCCCCCCTGGATGCGCTCAGCTCTGGCATAGACCTGGGCATTGCAATAAGGCAAATATTCTTGCGCTTCCCTCGAGGAGGAGATGCCAGAATCCATCTTTCACTTCAGGGGTTTCCTCCTTCCCAGACCAATAGGCAAAACGGACCAAAAATGAGTAGAAGCCTCTTGGCATGGTGAGCCTGGTTGCCTTCTGCAGCCCTGGGTGAAACCCTGTGGGTAGCTGCTGTGATGCTCATGTGTCCTCTCCTCTTTCACCCACCCATGAAGGGGTGTAGAAAGAGAGACTTTGCTGCACACTTCTCCAGGAATAAAACTCCCCTCCCTGTGCTTGTTAAGGAGCCGGGGTGGTACTGGAGAAGGAGCATAGGTATACAGGAGCCCCTTTGCCATGCTGCCCTTCCCACCAGCTGCCTGTTGGATCTCACTGTCTTGCCCAGCCCCTCTTCACGTTGTCTGTGTTGTCTGATGTCCTCTTGCTCCTCCTTGGCCAGATCCCGGGCAGGTTAGGAAGGGTGCTGTGCTCCTCCAACCGCTCTGCTTGGTGGCCGCTTCGCATGAGCCTTCCCACCCTAGCAAGCACCAAGTGGGACAACTCAGTCTGTCTCTTGGCTTTCAGGGCTCTGCTTGGGCTGGTTGAGCCTTGCAACAAACCCTCTGGCAGTTTTGGCTTTGGAAGCTCTTGCTGTTCGGGTGCTCCTCGCTGCCGTCCGGTGTCCTCTGCCAGGTCTCGCGCGGCGTTACTGACACCTCTTTCCATTCTCTCTGTCTCTCTGCAGCCTTTACTAGGGAAGGCATGCCTGTAAGTACCTTCTTGCGTCTTATTCCCCCTTTTGCCCCCGCTCCATGTCTCTTGCCATCCCACCGGTTGTTTTGTTGTTGCTGTGAAACCTGGCTGGGGTGTGGACTTCTTGGAGTTAATATTTCTCTGTGTATGTGGGATTTGGATGCATCTTAGGAAAGGTAAAGAGGAGACTATGGGTGCTGCCTTGTCCAACCCCTAAGTATCCTACCTTGATTCAATGTCCCAATTTTGTTGAGAAATGAAGCAAATAATCACTTGTCCTCTATCAATGATGTCTAAATTCCCTGCCTCCTCCTTGGACAGTCATGGGATGGGAGATGCTGTTGGGTTTTCCTGGGGTTATCTCCTTTGTGATAGCGTGTTGTACTGTAGGTGATAGACCCAGGTGGTTTGTCCTTCCCAGGGGCTCCGAGTTGTGTCTATGAGTGATGGCACCAGGTTGATCTCTGAGAAGGTTCTGACCTCAGCCCCAAGCAGGGTTTTATCACCTGCATGGGAGCAGGAGTATGTTTTCTGGAGCTGAACTGATCCTGGGTCCTGGCATCTGCGGTTCTGCAAACCTGGATTTTGGGAACAGTCTGCCTAGATGTCTTGGGCAGAGTAGATGCAAAGATATTGTCCTCTAGCTCTAGTAAGAAAGCAAGATGCCTTGAGCATTTAATGCACTACTTATAAATAATCAAGGCTTCACCAGTTTGGCTCAGTGCTCTTAGATCCTTGTGTAATTGGGACAGGACAGCTTCTGGATAAATTTGAAGCCTTTGGACTTAATTCATGCTACACCATTGATTTGAGAGCAGCAGTTGTTGGCAGCTGTGCTCAAATGTCTTCTCAAAGACCAGGGAGACTTTGGGGCTGAGCTGAGGCTGGAATAGTGCCCAGGGGTCTTTTTGCCCCCTATAGACCAGTTTGAATCAGCCTACGTGCATCCCTGTCCTGGTTCATTTTGTGGGCTGAAGATGGAGGAATCTGCTATAACATGGCCAGGCCTCAGCCTTGCTTACACATAACAGCTGGTGAACCTCACGTTTCTTCCCCTTCTAGAGTAAATGTTTTTGAGAAAAGGGAAGTTAGGAAGGTCACGCTTGGCTTTGTTGGCAGATGGGTTGGGGAAGATCATCACGCTCATGCTCCTGGGTGAATGTAGAGGTTGAGTTGCTCAGCATGGCCTGCATGTCTATGCTCTTT